GATGAAATTAGAAAAATTCATTTTTATCCCATTTTGGGTAATTTACCCCGGTTCCCCAACCGCTGTCGTAGACCCTATGCAGCCTCTGCTTGTCTTCTTCTTTGCTTAGTATCACCTCTGATATGTCCGCTACAATATCCCAGCTCTCCGCACTCTTCAGTATTTCACTGATAACATTTTCTGGCTCTAGGAGAATTCCCAATTCTGCCTCCGCCTCGTGCTTCCTTCCAACCCATCTGCACCACCTAAATAGCGTGTGCTCAGGGCTATCGTCTTCCTCACAGTACCAGCACTTTTCATCCACCTTCTTCACGAAGTGCAGGTACTTGCCAAAGCATCCATGGCCAGACAGCGCCTGGCTCAGGTCAAATGTTATGTCACCGTACTTTCTGCTTAACCAAGGCTCTATTTGCTGGATTAGGCTGTGCCATTTATATTGCCATTTTTGCAGCAGTGAATTTTTCAATATCTATAATTACTAAAATGATTATAAAACTTTTTCAAATCTTATATATTTTATTACAAATTTATTATTCCCATTTTTCCTAATTTCAATAATTTTTATTAACTATTCTCATTATTAGAATAATCTTATTACAGTTTTCTTTATATAATAACAATTTTGATTTGAAAATCAATGTAAATATTTATTTCAACCATTAATAAAATTCTATTAACTACAATACATAAATCCATTCGACCTTCGTCTATAGGAAACTAGGATTTATTTTTTTTTGTCCTTTATTGATTTATATAATTAATTTTACTGAAATCTATTTTTACCTTACTTATTATTACACGAAGGTCGCACTCGTACACAGAAACGTGTAATGCAATTTGTAAGGCTTCGAAAGAGCAGGTGCAAAAGGACAGGTATTTCTATTGAAACTCAACAAGCAAACTATAAAATCCCAAATTTCCATACATATTTGATATAAATAAACAGTCTATTAGTATTTTATTTATGTTATTAATTTACAATTTTTCAACTTTGAACACGTGAATTACAGACAAATGAATTAAATCACATCTCATGATTATGCATCTTTTCGATCCATTCAGTCTATTCTAGTTTCCGAGAAAATCACTAAAATATGAAAACACTGTTTTCATTCGAGTGTTAATTCTTCTTTTTTTCAAGTTTGAATGCGTTTGTTTTATATAAAACGTTGAGTTTTTGTAATCAGTTATATACAAAGATTTATAATTTAAAAAAAATAGAGTAGTGTAGTTTTTGTGTGTGTAATAAATTTGATTAATAAGTTGCATGTATAATTAATAAGTTTTGGAATGTAGATTGGATTAAATCGGTATGGGAAACACGCGTCTGCCTCTAATCAGCTTGGAAACATTGTTGCAGCTTCCGGTCGAAAGTTTAATTAATCAACTTCGGAGATGTTCTGTCAGCATGTAGCCAAGACAATCCATAAATTCCAATAATCGTGATTGCATAATTTTCCCCGAGCTTACCATTCCCATTTCGTTCCGTGAAAAGCAATTACGAGGAGTGGACGGAAGAAGAAATGCAAAGGTATTAATTACAGCTTTAAGTATGGATGCGCGTGTGCGATTGAACGTGCCCAAAGGGTGAAAATGGGCTTCAATTAGTTCGCAGATGTTTGCAGCGGCATTTGCGTCATACCATTGAAGAAACGTGTTCCAGCATCCAGTATCGATCAACCCCTGCGACACAAAAAAAAATAAATAATTATTACACCCACTGTCATTTGCAACTCCCACGTGAAGGGCAAACGTCCCACGTTCTTGATGATCAAACCGCACGTGCAAAGACACACAAACGTGATCAATTACAATCTGAACCTATACCTTTCATCCATCTTTCTTTTACGTTGTTATTACACGTACACAAACAAACAAACAAAAATGCAACTATAATTGATCGATCCACCAAAACCGATAAAAACTTGATTAATGCTTCTTCGCCTCTACGGTTTTCGTGGCCAATCGCGGAAGTTCAAACTTCTTTTGTTGCTGCTTCTTGTTTACTTTTTTTTTTCTATCCTTGATTCGTTTTTCCCGGGGGGCAGCAAAACCGGAGGTCGGAGTTCGGAATTGGGTCACCGTTGGTAATTAAAAATCCCAGGTTGTGCAGAACTCAGTCGCTTTCCACTAAATAAATAAAACGCGTGCTAAAATACCCTTATTTATAAATGGATGTATGCGAGCAGAAAGTTTCCAAAACGTAAAATAGACACATAAAAATGACGAAAAAAATATGTTAATCAATGTAATTTTATGTTTAAAATAAATATAGCAACGAGTAACTTTAGAAATCTCTTTTTTCTGAGTAATTTAAATAAATAATTAAACCGCAGCGTTGGAAATAAATGAACCATTCGTTTCAGTGTACTCAATTTGTTTATTTTATTCATTGCTCTTATTTCAACGTTGAATTATATAATATAATCACGGGGTAACGTGATGGCAATAAAATGATATTAACCAAATTGAATCGCTTGTAGATTTTACTGGGGGCGATGATGATGGTGGTGGTTGTAGTAATCGTAAGCTCGGAATTGTTAGTGTGCAGAGTAGACCTCCATCGACCCGATGACGAGCCCTGACCTCGACACAGAACGGATTGTGGGTCAAACTTGGGGTGTAACTACCAGAGTCACGTGACTAACATTCTGTATCCTGTATACATACACATACACACTAGATAAACAAACAAAAGTGTAGCATTTTTTTTTAAACTATGATGTTTACATTTAATTATTTCCTTTTACAGCTTTTAATTGCATCACATCATAAAATAAAGATAATATTTATAACATATTTAGTATTCATTAACAAATTAATTAGATATTATCATAAATCCTAGATTATCAAGGAAACTAATCCTTACTTTACGAGAAAATTCAATAGAATTCCCTGGAATATAATTAGCAGATGAAAATAAAAGTAATTTATTGAATTTGTTCTTGTGATTATAAATATATAATATGCATTTTTATAATATGCAATTAAATAATGGAAATGTAAGGAAATAAGTTATAATATGTAATTTTAACAATATTTTTGTTTTGGCTGGTTATGAATATATTTATAATTTTAGCTATAAGGAAAACATTCCTGGAAGTAACCACACGCCTTTCATTTCTATACGATACAATGGTTATGCAATTGTATAATAGACATAATGCATTATTATTTTCTCTATTTTTGCACGAGCCAATTGGCAACATTCCCAATGATTTTTATGAAGGCAAAGAAAAAAAACTGTAATAAACCAACATTTGAACTAGATATTAGCGAAGGTGCGCTAATAGAATTATTTTCTTCTTGAATACTAGCACACATTTTTGCATGCTAACGGGATTTACGATTTACTATGGAATTCCTAAATGAAATTTATTTAATTAATGATAAATTACAGATAGATTTTCGTTTATATTTAGATTTGTTTCCAACGTGTTAAATTTGGATGATTCAAATTAGTAATCTGCGCTTCAGCGGTCACGATGTATTCTTAAAGCGAACGCAAATTGCTTTGCCAGAAGATTATATAATAATGTTGCGTAAATGAATTCGAAAAGAGTTACGAAATAGTGTAAGTATGTAGGCAACTTCTTTAGCATTTGGTTGTATTGATTAATTTTTAGTTTTGGATTGTAAATGTAATATTTTTGAAGCTTGTAGATTTTTGTGTAAATAATAGTGAAGGGGTTGTTGTTAGGAAAAAATTGTAAATTATGGTAATTGTGGAAATTAGAGAAAACGCGTAATTTCTACAAGAATCCGTTGAATTTCTTTATGTTGGTAATGTTGTTCATTTGCCGTTTGACGTGAATTCCCTGGCTTTGACTTAATAAAAGGAAAATATTTTGAGTTTATAACAGAAGTTATATTAAAGTTGATTGGAGAAAGTTTTGCAGTGCATGTGCCAACGATTTCGTGCGTGTTTTCGTCGAGTTCAGTCGTGTATAGATCTGTGAATAGGTGTGAAAAAAAGTATTCGTTCACACTATGGCCGATCCAGTAGAAATGCGTATGAGTGTAACATCAATAAAACGTGTGGATCCATATGTTAAAGAAATACTGGCGAAATCAACACATGTAGCCTTGTACAAGTTCAACCCTTCAATCAATGAGTGGGAGAAGACGGACACGGAAGGCGCTCTCTTTCTGTATAGTAGAAATGGAGAGCCATACCACAGTATTATGGTGATGAACCGATTGAACACAGAGAATCTGATTGAGCCCATCGTGAAGGAGTTTGAGTATCAGATGCAGGCACCGTTTCTGCTATACAGGAACTCAAAGAGTAAAATCTTTGGGATATGGTTTTACAATCGCGATGAGTGTGTCAGCCTAACATTAATCCTAGAGACAGTGATGGAAACTGTGAAGGAGAAGAATATAGATAAAAATAAGAAGGCTGATGGTGTTGATATCTTCGGTTTGTTAAGCAGAGCTCAAGAAGATTATAATAAGACTCCAATTAAGCAAGAGAGCCATCCACAGTTTTCGACGCCGAGGGCACCAGATGTAACCTCGCAGAGTGTGATGGATTTCTTTGCAAAGGCCGGAACAAAATCAGCTGCCAAACCAGTGCACACCCCCGAATCAGAGATCCAATTTACTTTACAAAAACTTATGAATAATCCTGCTCACAGTGTCGAGCACATTGAAAAACAACAGAGGTCCATAACACCACAGAAGAACCACAAAGAGAATGGTATGAATTTCATTCGAGTGTCTTCACCGAAGCCAACTAGTAGTTCACCACTGGCCACTTTCCTCGGGCAGAAGGTTAAGGAGGACAGGGACCCAGTGACATCCCCGATGACCAACCTCATGGATTCAGGCCCAGCTGCAAAGCCACCAGCTCTGATGGCGCCAATCATGTTCGCTTCGTGCGCATCGAAGCCCGATGAGCCAGAGTGCAGCAGCAGTCTGCAACCTGTTGAGCCCCTCACCAAGAATCAGATGCTGCAAGCTGTAACTTATTTATTGAAAAACGATTCAGATTTTGTAACTAAAATTCACGAGGCTTACGTGAGATCCATGACGGAAAAGGTTAATTGCTCCTCATCTCTGAATTTAAATTAAAAGTTACTAAAACGTGCTACTATTTCATGAAGTATGCTTGTGATATGATTTTGTTTTAAACTTATGACAAACATATAACCGTGTGTAGAATTTCAGCTAAAATGCAAAAGAAAAAAAAATACGAAACGAAAAGAAAATAAACAGTTAAGTTTAACTAGTTATAAGAAAGAAATATTGAAAAAAAAAAATACATAAGTTATAAACGAAACGGACGTAGCTTAAGTCCAGCGGAGAATGAAAGTTTTAAATGATTATTTGTTCTTTTACATAAATTGTAGCTACATATATATTTTTTTAAAAATAATAATTTATCTTGCGATCTAAGGTAAAACAAGAAAAACAACAAAGAAAAGAAACAAAACCCAGTGGTTGACTAAGGATTGTGGACGCGCTGTGTTTTTTAATGTATTTTATTTGTTTTTATAAGTTATATTTTTTCTCTGATTTCCTACTTTTAATTGATTTTTGATTGACTATAATGGACCGCTCTAGATCCATATATATTTTGCGCGGCGATCAACCGCAATGCGCAAAGTATATTGAATCGCAGGTGGCGCTATTATTAATTGTCGTTATTATTATTATTATTAATTCTTCCCTCGCCCCCCCTTCATCATCCCTTTTTTCCCTCCATTTATTGACTTCCTTCTTGTAACTATGATTGATTATTATTATATGAATCGTAATATATATATTATATAGTGATACAAAGACGTTGTAATATTCTAGACATTTATTTTTCGAAAGTGTAGTCGACTTCAATATTTATGAACAACAATAAATTGAAATTTAAAAAAAAAAGACACGTTTCAAATTTATCTTCGAATTTCTCGTTTCATTTTATCGCACCTGCTTTTTGGTTTGTTGTTATATCTCTATTGTAAACAAAAGTTGGCATTACTTTTTAACAATTGTTTATTGACGATAAACAATATTCTCTTTGATTAATTCACCATGGATTCGGAAGATGCAGATGATGCAGAGTTTTCTAAGGTAAGTTATGTGCTTGATCTTGAAGTAGTTAATCAGTTATGTTTAGTTGAAGGATTTTTTTGATGCACAAAGCAAAGTCCATGAGGGATTTTGGACCAGTTTGGATACTTTGACGGAATCAAATAAGTTTTACAAGTCTGCACTGGACGAGGAGAGAGAGCAGTTCAGGCAATATATCGAAAATCAATCTTCAAGTTCCACAAATCACTTATATATAACGCTGAAAGGTATTTCTTAATGATCTAAGAAGGATATTTTTCATCAGTTTATTATTAAGGTATGTAATTTTAAACTGAAAGATATTCTTATTTTTTTTTTCAATTATAGTAACTTAACGTCAAATTGACTATTCTGAAAGTTGGCGAAATTAAGCAATTTTTCAATATCTCCAAATTCGCTATATAACTTAAAAAAATAATAATATGTTCATTCTACATACACTGCAGAAATTTATTGGCGATAACTCTTGTATTCTAGATGATTACAATAATTTGAAATTGGAATGCGCATCGCTAAGGACTGAGCTTGATAAAGCGCAAGAGAACTCCTTGAAAGCAGTAGAAGAATTGAAGGAGCAGCACAGGATAGAATTGGACGAACTGAAGCAAGATCATCAAATAGAAATTGCATCCTGGGAGTGTAAGATGGAGAATCTTAAAAGAGAAAACGAAGTAAATGGTATCAGTATTATTTATTTAATTATTTCAAAAAAAAAAAACAATTTGAAGATCAATCAATCTTTTGCAGAGAACGAGTTGAGCAGGATCCAAACGGAGGCTGCGTTCAATTTCGACGAGATGCAAACCGATCTGCAGAACAGGTTATTGGATTTGAACAAGAAACTGAGAGAGGCCAATAACTCGAACAATATTTTGAGGACCCAGATGATGACTTTCAAAGCGCATTACAGCGATGGAATTAATTCGGCCGAGAAGAATAATTTCGATGTAACACCTTTAATATTTCTGGTCGGATGGTTTAGTTATTTAATTACGTTTCTGTTTTGATAGAAAATAAAGTATTTGGAGGATAAATTACTGGTTAGCGAGAATCAATTGAGGATTGCCAATGAGAAACTGTTTGATAGAGGCACCGTTCCCAAATACACGAAATACTCGATGAACTTCAGGAATACGACAGGTGTGGACGTTCCGGTTAACACGGAGACTATAAACTTAAACAATGAAGTCAATTTGAAACATGAAAATGCGGATTTGGAACGGGCGAAAGGATTTTGGAGCAACGAAGCCAACAAATCGAATGTACTTCAGGTAAAACAGGTGACAACTGTTACGTCTACGATGAGCGTAAACGACACAAAATCGGGAGTGAAGAAGAGGAGGAAATTATTCAATTTGGAAGACACCGATTACTTGAATAACTTAAATTACCAAAACGAGTGAAATTATATTGCGTTTCTTTTATTATTAAATATACTAAAGTAATTTTACGATCCTTTGTAGCAAACTATATAGATTACATGTGAATTAATTACAAATGATATTAGGTTTAGATTAATAAATTATTTAAAAACGAGTACATGAAATTAGATTAAGTTATATAATTGATTTTTTTTTTGTTTAAGTTTAGATTAATATTGTATAATTTGTATCCTTCTAATCTCAATATAAGTGTCATAATGTAAACGTGGAGATGATCCGAAAAAATGTTCAGTCTAAAATAATTATAAATACTTTCTCGGCTTAACAAAGAATAAAACGAATAAAAACTGTAGATTTCGGGGGATTCACTGAACCTCCTCCTAATCGCACTTATTCCTAATTCCAAGCGCTCTATTCCAATTATCTACATGGCCGAATCCGTAGATAAGCTAGAGGCTTTAACATGGATAACTTCAGTTGTAGATGTAATTGTTCAGGTTATTCCAACTGAACGAGTAATCAATCTCCAGGTGGCCGTAGTTGCTGAGCTTGAAGTTCTTGGGTTTTCGATGGGTTCTAATATCGTCGTAGATCGGAGATGTTCCTGTAGAATCGTAGTAGTCTGGCTTCACGTAGATGTCTTCCATGCCATGGTAAATTGGTTGCTGATGTACTGCATAAGGGTCATATCTACGCAAGATTTAGATTAAACCATTTTTTCTGATTAAAATCTATTTTACTTACTCGTAATCCACGTTGGAGAAGCTACGACTTCTGTTCCTGGTTTGCTTATCTTCAATGATGTTTTTGGAAACACTCTTGGAACGCTTCGGCCTATGTGATTCGTATATTTGCATTGGAATCTCTTCCTTCAAACCAATTTCGTAGGGATGCTCAAAATCTACTATTAAATAAATCTTTAATTACAATTTATAATTCAATTAACTGATTTAAATAGAAACATTAATAACTAAATCAAATTAATAAACTTTTTATTGTCGTGTCCCAGGGTTAAGAAATCCTTGGACACCGTGGATTATCTCGTAGTTATGTCGTTGCGGAGTCTTAGAGGGGTTTATGAATATTAAATGCAATATTCTTAATTAACTTTATTATACACATCGGAGTTTTATTGAGAAGTCAACTAAACAATAGTTGCTCTCAGGTATTATTAACTAAGAGTTACATTCTCCTCTTAAGTTAGTGTTTATGAAGTAAGTGCTCTTCCTTGGACTCTCCAAGTAAGACCATGTTCTACGTTGGACTCTGTTAGTAAGACCACTTCTCTCTTCGCTCCCCTAACTAAGACTTCTTCTCTCTTCGGTCCCCTAACTAAGACTAAATTATATAATACAAAAATGTGTTCATTTTAAAAAGGGGCTGCGTGGGAGGAAAAGGTTTGACCTTGTGGAAAACACAAGCGTTTCTTTATCTAAGTTTTATGATCCTACCCAAATATTTAGGGGCTGCAGAAGGCTGTTAAGTGGTGATGCAATAGACGCAACTAAACGATTTAATGTGTAACCGTCGTTGGGAATATTCCACAAGTTATTCTAAATAATCACGTACAAGTATCCGTTTGTATATTTGATGGATACGTTAAATATGATTTGTAATAATTAAGAGGAAAGTCATGGCCCTAACAAATATACATATTAATTATACAATAGATGACAATAAATTGGTCGGCCACGACATTATTTTGAACCAATAATTTATGTGGTTTAGTTTAATTAATGTATTCACTCTCTATGGTAGTAGATCAGAAATCTTGTATTTTTTTCGCCTACTTCGAGACAGCGTTTGTTTACTATTTAAGTGTGTTAAAGAGATTTGAACGCATGGTAAGACGTCCTCTTCGGCGTATTTACAATTCGCATACAACAATGACCATTTCACTTTTATGAAATTCTACACGCTGAGGCTTAGAATTTCATTTCTTTATAACATCCTTTTCCATTTCTCTTTGTACAAATGTTTGTATACACTACGAAACCAGTTGTGAATGTGTGCTTAGTCTCGTGTTCATTTGTTTGCTTAAATATAATACTAACCAGTTATGCTTTTTCTTTTCGTTAAGATTTATTGACTGTAACTTTTTCTTTCAAACAATTAATGAATATTACTTATAAATAAACACTACTTTCTATTAATTAATTAATTAATTAATTTGAATAGTATCAAGTAGCTCATTAAATATTCAAAACTATCATACATGTTTTGTTTGAGAAACTAAAAGACAAATAGTGAAATTTGTAAATAAATACACAAGACAATGTAAAGTTTTCTTTTTCATGAGAAAAACAGTTCATAATTTTCCTAATTATAATTTATAATAAGTATAATATTTGAATTTTCAATTAAATTACTAAGCAGAAAGATTAAGAAATAAAACTTGTAATTAACATTAATGAATAAAAATATTTGGTAAAATAAAATAGGTCATCTTTTGTTTGGAAATTGTGCAGCAGACGTGGAAATTTATGCAGGTGAATTAATTATGCATAAATTAAAAGAGAAATTTTTGAATATAATTAAATGAATTTTTCAATGAAGTTGATTTTTGTAAGTTGCATTTTTCTTATAAATATGAAAGACTTATGACTTATTATAAATTCTAAGGAAAATTGGATGAAGGATAATGAAATCTGTGATAAGTACATAAAAAAAATGGTAATAAATGCAAGGTTGTTAGTGGTATTCTCATTAAATTGTATCTGGGTGGAATTGTAATTTCTGCCGGATGGAAAGATCACATATCTTTCACGTTATATTTCGCGCGAGCAAGTGGATTCAGCACCATCAACAGCGCGTGAAGTCACTACCACGAGTGCGTCTTCATCTCCATGTTTCGAGTCCACACGAACTGAATACAAAATCACTCATTCTCACCCATCATTATACAATCACGCAGTAATAAAGTACGTGTGTCTATTGTTAAATGTCCGTCCCAAGAATGGCGAACCGAAATCAGCAATCACCGATCCATTAGAAGTCGTTAAACCTTCTGAAATTTCTGTAGAAATCGTCGCGCTTCATTTAAGGAAAACGTTATTATTTCACCATAAACGAAACGAAATTGCTTAACGATAATTAAATAAACTTTTAATAGTTTTTAACCGATTAATTTTAAGTGTGGAAAGGAGAAGTAATGAGTATGAAATGCTCACTTTCGTATGCTAATCGTTAAAAAAAAAAGAATAAACGAAAACACTTTTTCCTACTTTCTTCTTGTACCAAAGCAAACTCCAATTATAAACTCATTACCTTCTAATGTCAACGAGGTACTTCCACGTTTTTTCTTTTTTTTTGGAGGAATTATTATAATTCGCCATTGTCTTAATGTCGGGACAAAAAAGAGAAACGAATTACATGAAAACGAACCGAGGATACATTTTTTTGTCTTTCATTTTCGTTGTTTTGTTTCAATGGTAATTATTGTAAAATTGCGTAAACGATGTGCATTCGACAAACACGTTAATTATGAACGTTTCTAAATACATTTTGTGTATACATTTTGCTTTATTTCCATTCTATATTAAATTGTTACCTCAAGCTGTGATAGTAATGAATTTAACAATTACTTAAGCATTTTTTATTGAAACTAATCTTTTTTTTGTTTGTATTTATAAATCTTTTAAAGGATATTAAGAAAATTACATAAATCGACTCATGATATAACTTTACCATGCATTTTCAATTAAGGTTGCAGTTTAATTGAATTACTCTAACCATTATGGAATATGACCTAAATCTGCTTGAATAACCTTGAGAGCCTAAAGATAACTAGGAATTTTATCCAACAATGTTGATATGGATATAACACTGACTTATTTCAATATAATTGAAATAATTGGTGCTGCACGTTTCACACTATTAACTTTACAAATTGTAATTAATCATAACTTAATTAAACTCAATCGAGCTGCAAAGTGTTTGCATAATATTTATTAACGTTTCAAATATCTATTGATTTAGAAAATGAGGTAGTAAAAGTCCTGCATATAAATTATCAAAGACTGTGAAAGCAACGTTTGAGTTTCCTTCCTTCCATTAAAGGAGTAAATGGTACAAAAGAGAAACACAAGAGTTAATAAATGCATCGGAACGAATCCCGGCAATTAATGTGTTTATTGGATTAGAGAACAATCGCTGGTGGACAAAACGACTTTTTATTTCGATACCGGTTTTTTTTTAATGTTATTTTTACCTCTTCGGAGAAAGTTGCGGTAAATTGCCTTGTTGATGATATTACGTTTTGATGTAATTGGAAGCAGTTTATTTGGAACTATAATATGATACACGACTCTCAGTTCGACCTTGTATTAGATTTACCATTGAAATTCTTAAATTGTAGCATTGTTTCTGTGTCTTCAATCTTCTATAATTTCTATGCAATCATTTGATTTTTTCACGTTTTATTTAACTACGTTTATGAAATATAAAACTTAAAGTTTAGTAACAAAATAATAAATAATTCTTTCCAAATTTGTTTTTATTTTAAATTACAACTCACTACAAAATGAGATTAACACTTGCTCTAGTTTTTTTTTGTTATTTCGAAGGACCATATGATGCGATATCGTTAAAGGCTAGAGGAAGCTGAAGACAATGATAACTAGTCTGGAAATACTAACATTGCATTTTAATTTGTGCACAATCGTGTCCCAGTTAGCTGTCATCAATGGTCTGCGAATTAAACGAATTGGTAAGTTCTTATGAAAAAAAACAAAATAAAATAAACAAGACGTATTTCTTAAGTAGGTAAACGTTTTGCATCATAAATGCGAAGGATAATAAAATTGCTTATTTAATTTTTACGTAAACGCAAATTGAAAAAGCAAATTTTGTCTTTCGAAAAGTCTTTATTATATAATTAAAATCAACTGTTAAGTATTTATTCATAATAATTTTCTATTAATTTACGAGTTTGTTTAATTAATAATTAATTGAGTTGTAAGTTGTTGTTTATAAGTATAAATAATGGAAACGAATTGATTCGTTTCAAACAGAATGTTTTAAAAGAAAAGTGACGTTAAGTGCGATATTCTTTTTTATAATATCTGTAATTGCGTAACTGGTGGAGCTTGCAAAATGATTCACATGCAAATTGAGAAAAGAATGAATACATAAAAAAAAAGTTGGACAAGAAACATTTGCATATAATGCAACGACCTAGAAAAAAAAATCTTCTAGATTTGACAGAAAACCGTGACATGTGCTAATGTTAATTGCTGTTTAATAAAGTCGATTAATTAATTGGCGAGGAAACGTGGCAATTAGCTTTTGATAATTAATGGTTTTAAATGGTCTTTGTTTGTTGTGCGAATCTCGGAAAATGAACATCCGCAGGTATTGCAACAGAAACGGAGGAGTTTCGACCTTCTTGCTCTTCTTCGACGTCTTAATATGTGTGCTATTATTATAATAAATATATGGTCGACCATCCGTTCTTGCATCACGCGCCTTCTTCTTTAATCGGCACGGAGAAACGTTAACTTATTTGCTGGCGATTCACGCACTTTGCACACAACGAATACGTACAGACCTCTCTCCATGCACGTATAATGTAATTGTATACGAACGCTGCGAAATAATTATTTTCAAATCAATCGGCCATACTAGATCATAGATCATTGCACAAATCATAGGTTTACACACGTTGTTTTCCTCAGCCTTCTCGTGGAATCCGGAAAATATTGAATGCGAATTCAGTTGCATAAAACCAATTATTTATACGACATTTCATATCGTTGATTCTTCCTGAAAACTTTATGCAACTTTTAATTATTAATATTTATCGATATTTCTTTCATCTTATATTGCATCATGTAATTGTTGTTATTATTAATTGATATAATTCAAGTTTTATTTGAAAATTTGTATTAGATCAAGTTTTTTATA